GAGTAGCACAGCTAAGGAAAAGGGGAAAAAAATGGCGGACTGCATTGTTTGGCAGCCCCCGTGAAATGGTCGTTCAACCCCGACCCACAGGTTGAGTACCACTGCCTTAGATCAAGGTGGGTTCTGTCCTTGATTAGTTTCCATCCATTGCTTCTTATCCTGTCTTTAGGTGCTTAAGTTGACCCCTTCTTCTTTGTGGCAGCCCCTCAAATATTGGAACACTGCTATCCTGTCACCCCTAGTCTTTCTTTTCATTAGGCTAGACATATCCAATTCCTGCAACCATTCTTAGTATGTTTTAGCCTCCAGCCCCCTAATCATTGTTAGGACGGAAATTCAGTATGATCTTACCAGGAAAGTGAATATAAGATGAAATGTCAAAAATGGTATGTACTGCATAGGGAGACAGTGGTGGCAAACCTATGCCACGGCTGCCAGAGGCGATACTCGGAGCCCTCTCTGTGGGTACATGTGCCGTTGCCCAAGCCTTGCCTCCCCCCACGACCCCCTCCTCATCAGCAGTTCCCCTGGAGGAGAGTTACCCCAGAGCATGGCCCACGCGGAGCAGTGCAGCCAAGGACATGGCAGCCAGGCAGCGTAGACAAGACTCTGCCCTCACACCCCATCACGCACAGTTGATGCTGCGGGGCGTGGGCAGAGGGCGTGGCCGCCATGGCGCTGCTGGGCTGCCTGGGCAATCTGCAGCAGGCCCTAGAGGCGGTGAGTGGCCCTGCAGGCAAGTGGGGTGGAGGCGGAGTGGGGGCGGGGCAGGGGATGGAGTGGGGATGGGGTCAGTTTTTGGGCACTCGGTCTCTAAAAGGTTCGCCATCACTGATTTAGGATAACACTTTGATCCATGCAATGGGCATGTAGCGGTCACCAAACTTAATTGCTCTCCCGCACATATCAAACCATGACTTCTTTTTTTAAAAAAAAAAATATTTTATTGTTTTTTTAATTTTTAAGAAAAAGTACTCAGGACACACCATGGTGTTTAGGTAATCAGACATTCAAAAGTAAAAACATAAATAAACAACTCAACTTAATGCATTCACTGTCTCCTCTCTATTTCTGTTGTGATTCCGTGCCAGCCTGTGCTCCCAACAGATGAGTCGGAGGAATCTGAGGAGGAGGTGGAGGAGGCATTTGGGGGGCCATCAGAGCCAGAGGGAGACTCTGAAGTACAGAACTCACAGTTGGATTCAGAGCCTGGGCCCTCCAGTCGTGTTTCTGATGAAGCTCAGCTGGGTGAGGAGCATGAATCAGACTTGGAAGAATCACAACAGATGGAATTGTTAATTGACGCACGCAGGCGGCGTCAATTAGCCAGAGTAAGACAACAGAGGTCAATGAAGCACCTCCAAAGTAAGAAGAAACGGCAAGGGGAGGCACCGCCTTAGGACTGCTAATTAAAGGGAGGAAGCATGGGTGGTGCTGGCTGCTGAAGGCCACCATTTGAAAACCGCATCTTGGAATCTTGATCTATGACTTCTCTTGTGATTTCTTGTTTGTTTTTCATCATGCTCTTTTGGACTTAAGTTTGCTGTATTTGACAGGTTTGGCTATGATATTAAAAGGGGTTTTTGTTTTTATTTGCAAGTCTCCAGCCTATTGTAGTAGCAGGGGTTTTGTCCTTGTGAAGTTAACAAGGACAACAATAGGCTGGAACAGAACAATTTCCCTCAAATAACATAATACGTTTAAAATATTCAATTTCTAAATTAAATTTCTATTACTACTAAATCTGTTTTAAAACTTTATCAGTTTACAATTACCAAAATCAAATTTAACTTTAAATCAACAAGTTATCAATTCAGGTATCCCTTCCAGATGTATTCTTAATTTCTCTCATCCCTCCTTTTATCACCAATCTCATTTATTTCTTCTTCCATTACACAATAGCTATCTTAGTTAAAAAATAATGTTAAACCTTAATTCACTTCAATTCATTACACAAACTTCAAATTTCATCCAATTGATTATCATACCTTATCACATCTATGTTACTGTACAAAAAATCATTTAACTAAATTAAAACACTCCATTAATTATTAAACCCACCCCAATCTAAAAAATCAACGTTTTTTCAATTCCAATACATAATTTTCATCAAAATATATCTAATATTCCCCAAAGTATTCTTAATCGATTTAAAATATCCATTCTAAAAATCACCCTCATGTATATATGTTTATATTTTTTTCTTGCTTCTAACTCTAAAATCAAAATCCTTAAAACAACCATAAATCCAACATTGCCTTTTAATCCATTACACAATTTTAAATTTCTCTTTTCAGTCTAATTCTGGCTTTTTTCCTGTGCCAAGCAGGTTTCCATAGGGACGCTTCCCTTTCAGCCAATGGATCTATCTTTGTTGCTTACAGTAGCCTTTGAAATAATAGAAATCCCATCCTCTGCATTAGACATCTATTTCTCTCCTCCTTGAAGCGTCGTTGCTTTCTAGTTTGAAATCTCAGTCTTTACTTCTTCTGTTCCTCAAAGTTGGAGATGGAAGGTTTGTAAGATAGAATAAGTTCCTCTTTTATCTCTGTTGATTCCTCTTCTAATATATTTTGATTTATACCATAGTCAGATATAGCCTGGACATCCATTTGAACATTTGAAGTGAAATTTCTGGATCTCAGTTCTGTAGTAAACTTTTTCATTGTAGCACATATTTCTGCAGTAGCCTCATAGATCTTTTCCAATGTAAGTGTGCAGTTTAATTGTGACTGAGGTTTCTCCATTTTGATAGTGATTAAAAAGAGTCTCTCTTTTCTTTTTTGTGGAGGCTATATTTGATATAATATAGGCAATATCCACTCCTACAGTTCCCATAGTTACCCAGCTTATCTTTCCTCTTCAGAAGTGTATTGAAGGTCAGCTATCTTCAAACCAAGTAACCAGAAGTGACAGTATTAATATTTCGCCACTAGATGTCCTCAGTAGGTTAAAAAAGGTCTTTTCCAAACACCATTTCCCCTTTTCTATCTTTTAAAGTATAATGTGAAAAATAAATAATCTTCCAGCATAGGATGATAGTTCTTAGAAAAAGAGGAAAGGAAAAGAAAAAAAATTTTCTGTACCCCCAAAAATATAAAAGTAAATACAGTTTTTAAAATTTTGTTCTATTTTTATAGAACACCTTTCTTCCCAAAAAATGTAGAAGCTGCCTTTTCAAGCCAGGGAAGTAATTCCAACAAGGCTCTTTCAGGTACCAAATACAAAATAGTATAGAGAGAATAGCAAACAAAGGTCTCACCCGGATTCACCACAGGGGTTCTTACAGCTTAGATGTTCTTTGACTTGCAGTTTGAAGCAGCAGGGTGATCGGCCGTTTTACTGGCCGATCTTCTTCTCTGTCGGCCCTCAGAGATAGCTCGGACTGCTAAAGGAGCCGCCACTCCTCAACAGCCGAGCAGAGCCTCCTCGACAGAAGTTGCACTCTCCAGGGCGACTTTGGACCCGCATAAGGGTCTGCCGGTGGAGGGAAAGCTAGCCAACGAGAAGACAAGTGTCTGCGTATGACTAGAGACGCCGCGAACTGGAACCAGAAGTCTTATCAAACCATGACTTCTGAAAATGATGGACATTTTCTCACTTTTTATAACATAAAATTATTAAATTAATAGAAAGCTAATGGTTCATTCATAATGAAAGTAGAAAGAATATCGAAAATCTATCAAAACATTCTAGGAAAGAAAAAAACAACAACTTGTCTATACAGGGTTTTAAGGCAGTAGATCCATTTATCAGAGAAATCCTACCATAAACCATAGAAGACCTGATTATTTACACTGTGAGATTGATAAGCGCTTCCTGTTTTATAATGCAACCTTCACAATATTATTTATATGTTTCGCTGAAATGTCAGCTTTTCTTTTTCTCTCCATGAAGAAAGAGTAATGGTCACATCAACTTTGGGAACCTTGAATTTGTGACAATTTCAAAATTATACAGCATGAGACATATTGCCTGGCAAATCCCAGATTGTTCTTGAACAGCAAAAGGGGAAATTACTCTTCTGCTTGAAATGTTATTTCTGGAAGAAACTGCAAAAATGTGTAAACTGTGTACCACAATATCATTTTGCTAGCTAGTATCTAATATGTGCAGGAAAAAAAACAAATGCTCTTATTTCCAGAAATAAGCAGAGTTTAGCAGAGATTAGTGGTACCTTTAGTCTAGGAACAGTGTTTTCAAAGCATGCCTTACTTCTAGTATTTTTATAACCATGGAAGACTAAGAAACTATTATATCTATGCCGCACTAGACTCAAAATACTTTAATTACTTTTGATAGATGGACTATTAGATTGACCAGTATCTATTCCAAAACAATCATAATTAATCACAGTTAATTTACTTTCATCTGTGGCATTTAGTACCATCCAATGTAGAATTTGGAGGGGGAAAAAACAGCAAACCAAAATAGCAATCTTATAATCTTTATGCATCAAACCATTTTTTTTATTACTTCAGCCCTTGCATACATGTTTATTGTAATTTACAGCAACACTCATGACACATGCAAGTAGTCCTTGACTTACAACAGTTCATTTAGTGACCATTTGAAGTTACAACAGCACTGAAAAAAGTGTTTTTTGACTATTTTTCACACATATGACCATTGCGGCATCCCATGGTCACAATATCCAAATTAACTTGCTTGGCAACTGGCATACATTTATGACAGTTGCAATGTCCCAGGGTAATACGATCATCTTTTGCAAACTTCTGACAAGCAAAGTCAATAGGGAAGCCAGATTCACTTAACAACGCGGTTACTAACTTAACAACTGCAGGGATTCACTTAACAACGGTGGCAAGAAAGGTCACAAAATGGGGCAAAACTCCCTTAACAAATGTCTCACTTAGCAACATAAATTTTGGGATCATTTGTGGTCGTAAGTTGAGGACTACCTAATGCATACCACAGGGGGCATAACTCAATTCACAAACACAAGGAATATAGATTGAGAAAAATTGAGTGACTCTTACCAAACTATTCCCTGAGCTCCAGAGCCGATTGGTTTTAAGTTCTGGTAGCGTTTGAGAACTGTGAAGGTCGAGTCACCTACTTCCACACTGTAGAACTGGTTGTCAACTTTGCTTTTACTCATGTTGTAGTATTTGGCAATATATGACACATCCACTTGCTTCCCAAATCCCTGTCATAGGGACAGAACGATGTAGGCAAGAGAGAAAGAAAACAGAAAGCCAATAAATTAGGAGCATAAACAGCAGGATCTCAAACAATTCAAGCTAGATGTCCTTCAGGATAGCTAATCTTAAGACTTTTATGGCTCTTGTTCTATTTTTGCCTGCCAAAATTTTGCCCACCAATCAATTAAGCCTGTTTATTTCAGCTCTCTTTTTTTCCTGCCAAGTGGGTTAAGGTTAGATTTAGGGCTATCGATCATGGTAGACAGTTACTGCTGTGAATTTATGTACTCCTTAATCACGACAAAGATATTGCTCCAGTCGATAATGGACATAAGATTTTAACATTAGTTATGGCACACGCAAAAAAAGAACAGGAGCAGAATTTCACATTATATTTCTATTATATTTCCAGGATTAAATCCTAGTGCAAATAGGAATCTTTCGGATCATTCAAAGTGTGCCCTAAAATAAACAAAATCCCAAGGCACCGAAATCCACAATATATTATGATTTATAATTCCCATATATCCTTAATACATTCCTGTTTTATAATAAAAATGAGATTTGAGGTTGATTTGTGTTCATGCCCTTGTACTTTATTTCATAAATTAACATGTTCTTTTCAACAAATTACTATTTATGTACTACCTGACAAGAATAAAAAAAAGTAGTACCACAAATAATCTGTATACAACAGGACGATGGGAAATAAAAGCTGATAAAAAATTGGGAAAGAAAACATTAAATAACATTTAAATAACATTAAATAATGAAGAAATGATATCAGAATAGATGCCAGGTAAAGTTTTTCCCAGGGGCAGCACCCATTTAAACTGGCAAACACATTTGTGTCCAAGCAGACAGATGCAAGCTGAAAGTAAAGAATCTCTACAGGTTTCTTAAGTCATGCTTGTCTTTAAAAATGAGCACACGCATTCTGAATTATATTTGGAAATTTGCAGAGTTAGAACCAGTTTGGTCTAGAGGTTAAGGCACCAGTCTAGAAAGCCAGAGGCCATGAATTCAAGTCCTGCCTTAGCCATGAAAGCTAGCTGGATGACTTTGGGCCAGTCTCTCTCAGCTCAAAGGGTTACCTCACAGGGTTACTGTTGTGGTGAAAACAGGAAAAGGAAAGTATATTGGCTATGTTTGCCCCCTGAATTATTTGTAACAATAGTAAAAGGAAATGAATGAAGAAATGAATCAATGAATTAATGAATGATCATCTTTGCAAAAGGTCAGGATTAGAAAAATGCTCATAATAATAATATCAACATTCCTAACCTTCAGTAACTAATCAAAGGTTTAATTATTGTAAGGTAACAATAGATCTTAGTTTCATGTATAAGACATGCTATCTTCATAGCCTTTTCCAGTAAGAAAGTCATCTTCACAAAAAAATAAAAAGTGAACATGAAAGTTACAGCTACTTTCTAAAAAGAATTATTGTATTGGCATATTAAACTACTAAATTTAATCTGATCATTTTTCATGAAGATAGACATATACATTTACTTCTTTTATACTAACCAGAGGAGTATCCCCCCCTTTTTTTTTAAAAAGAAGAAGAAGAAGAAAGCACTACTAAATTATTAGCTGGGCACTGCTTTATCCAAATCAGAACCATTTTGGCATTTTGAGTTGTTTCATTTAAGCCACCGTTTTCCTGGAGTTCAAAAATAAGTTGAATAAAAAAAATGGCTGTCTGCTTCTGATTGTGGTGAACCAATCAGAAATGGATGATGACCGCAAAGAAAGGATAATGATGGAAAGCAGAAGTCATCACTAACACAGCAGCGACATGTAGAAGTCCTAACCCTCATCTTCAATATCATTAATTGTCTATGGCAGCTTGCCTCAAATTGAAGAGAGAAATTTAATGCTAGGATTCCCAGCTAAATTGGAGCTAAGGACCGTGATGGCGCAATGGTTAGTGTTAAGTCCCCAGATTATTGGGGGCAATATGTTGACTCTGTAAAACACTTAGAGAGGGCAGTAAAGCACTATGAAGCGGTATATAAATCTAAGTGCTCTTGCTATTCCTGATCAAGCAAAGGTAAAGGTAAAGGTCTCCCGGTCAGCAGTGTCCAATTCTAAGGCACGATGCTCATCTCCATTTCTTGTCTGAGGAAGTCAGCGTTGTCCAAAGACAATTTCTGCGGTCATGTGGCCAGCATGGCTATACAACAAAGCCACACCGAATGCTGTTACCTTCCCACAGAAGTGGGTACTTATTATTCTACTCACATTTGCATGCTTTCGAACTGTTAGGTGGACAGGAACTGGAGCAAGCAACAGAAGCTTACCCTGTTGCATGAACTGCCAGCTGGCAAGCTCAGCATCTTTAAGCCATTGTGTCTCTCCCAATCAAGCATCCCTAGATAAATACACTTGCTCACCCCAAAGAAGGAAAAAGAAAGAACCAGCCTCCAATGCACAAGAAAAACTGATTAAATATCAAGGGAGCAAGAGTGTGTTTTCATTGCTAACACACTGCAGTGGGCACATTTCAACTAATTCTCCTAGGAAGGAGTCAGGAGAAAAGCTTCTGACAATAATTTATAAGTTACTATCAAGAGAATTAAAGTGGTTATCGCCATCAACACATGAATATCTCTAGGCAGTTATCACAGTCCCAACAAGGGCTACTATCAAGGGGTTGTCTGGATCTATTTGAATCTGTACAATTTATTTGTCTTATTTTTGGCTTGACACTCCAAGCTTCAGAGCTAGTTAGAAGTATGCACCATTTTAATGTTAAGATTCCTGTTTTAACATCCCTCTTGTAAGAAGTTTAAATGTAGGATGGACACAGATGCTCAGCGCTGCTTATCCTCCCAGGGAATTGATAAAAGAAAGAGTCCACATTAGGATATTGAATTTGGTAACTGGAACAGTAAAGTGTACAACAGGCCAGAACATAGTTGTAGCTGATTGGTTGGAGGGTGCTCATGCATGAGGCAATCTACACTATGATTGGTTGCCATTAAGTATAAAAGGGGGAGTTTCTGTTTTTCCCCCTCCTTCTGTGTGTTCTGTATATTGTTTAATTTGCCTCATGATGTTCTTGTATTCCTCACTATCTTGTGTTTTTTCTTTCCGTATGATGACAATACAAGTTTGTGTTAGTGTCTCCGACTTCATCTGGACAGCTGCTATGCAATTCCCTTACAGTCCACCTATGCCCACTTTGTCCAACATCTTTTCCGGTAGATCCCAATCCTTATTATGGTATTTATGAACGAGAAGGGGAATCTTATGCATGCAATATCACAGTCCCCCCTTTGGATTCTTTTAGCGCATGATGGCTCCAACTATTCAGTAATCTGCACATTGATGTCATCAGCAATTTATGAATAAATATTTTATCAACATACATTAGCTATGGATGATTGTAAGAAATCATGTCTTCCATTCAGCAAAATGTTTACTGTACAACTTTATGAGGTAGTGCTCATACAGCAACTGCAATTTGGACTGACAACTCAAGTCATTAAACAAAACAGTTACTAAGTGAAATTATATGACAACTGTGCTTATGGTTTTAAACAGGACAATGCATACCAACCAATAGCAGTGGCAAGCACACAACTGAGGGAGAAATGCTGTGAAGGTCATAAAAGTGGGCATTGGTCACAAAGTTACATTTTCTTCACTGTCATAACTGCAAACAGTTGCTAAAATGCAGTCATAAAATGAGGATTACCTGTATTTGTATGCATGTGTGTGAATGTATGTCTTGTATATATGTCTTATATCTTCTGGGCGGATTATAGCTTGCTTTCTTTGTCTTTTACAACTTTGTACATTCTTCTTCCTTTTTAGTATTTTAATGATATTAATAAAAATTCTCAACCAATTTGGCCAGTCACCTGAGTTTGCCTTATTAGATGTTCTTGCTTCAGCACAAATTCCCAAGATTTTGCCCTTACATTTTTTAGGGAAAACTAAAAAAAATAATGTCAAATAGCAAAACAGAGCACCGAAGATAGCATATGGTAACGGTTGTCATTAAACCAGGAAGGGAGGGACAAGGAGAGAGAATGAAGACTTCTGTGGCTTTGTCCCCCAAAGCACAGAAGTCTTCATTCTCTCTCCGTGTCCCTTTGAAGTGCAGTATGTTAATCGGTTCCTGGATAATTGCCCAAAATGGCTTCCTCCTAATTGCCTTCCACTTTTCAGTGTGTTTAATTTTACCAGCTGCCCAGCAGGAACAGGCATTCAAAAGCCAGAGACGTGCATTTGTGGAATGGAGGATGGGGGGATGGTCTATAAATGCCAGAAGGAGATGTTGATATGAACAAATTTGTGAAATAAACTGAATAGCATAATTTAGTTCCCTGTGGACTTTCTTATATTGTCTCTGTGTGAAGACCCCGAACACCGCATGTTAGAAGATGCAGTCACATGTTGGTGAATACCCAGAAGGCACACTCAAGTCTGTGGTTGCAGGTGCTAGGAGTAAGCTTGCCATCTGTCTACTATGAATTGTGTTTTTTGGAAGCTTCAATCATAGTAACAAGAAGGGTTTCTGAGCATTATCACCTCACAAATGAAATTGGAAACTACATTCGAAAGTTGCACAATAAGAGGAACCACATGCCACTTTGACAGAGTAAATTAAACAAAATATTTTTTTAATACAGCATTACCCATATGGCCAATGAGCTGGTACTGTTTCTGTCCAGAAGAATCAGAGGTCTGGAAAGATTTAAAAACCAAACGTATCTAACAATAAGCCATATGTGGTTCAACCATAGTTCTGGTTCAATGTAACTCTTATTTCTATACCAGAAGTTAAATCCTCCTAATGTTGGTTCAGTTAGTTAATTCCCAGAGCGTCAATTTAACCCTAAATGTTTATAGACAAAGTTAAATTCTACCCAGACAATTGTATCATGGGAATTTACCCATTTGGCAGGTCTAGTCCTCCAAGAAAATAAGTGGGAGAGAAAGGATGACTAAGAAAACAGACCGCTCTATCTCAGAACTCCCTGGCAAGGCT